GATCAGGTGTAATATAATTTGTAATTCGATTTTTGTAACTTTTAGATGTTCTATTGGACGTAACTAAAGTACTAGATGAAGGTAACACAGAATTTGATATGACCGGAGTAGATATTTCAAATGTATTTAGTGATATGTTACTATCACTATTATTTTTATCTTCATATGAATCGCCAAAATAATTTTTTTTTTGTTCTGGCAAGATAAATTTACAGTTTCGAAAATGTGTACGTGCAGCTCTAAGGGCATCATTAAATTGTTGCTGCCAATATTTGCACTCTCTTCTTTTCTGTTTAAATCCAGCTACACGTCCTAGTTGAATAAAGTGACTCCAAATTGGATCGGGCATTTTTTTCTGAAAAAAAAAGCAATTACACACTAACGCTAACTTATTGATTTAGAACTTATTAAAAAAAAAAGTTAATTGACCACTAGTGTAGTAACCTGAGCTTCGTACAAAAACAATTTTATTAGATCCAAATCTATTAAACTAAAAAATATTATTAAAAAAATCGAAGTTAAAATAACTTTATTTGCATGGAGACAAATATTTACACGATGTATTAATGTGAGAAACTGTACTAAATTGTACTGAGTTTACTTATTTGTGAGTAATACAAATTTCAAAAAGGAGTTAAGCAAAGTGAAATTTCACGCTTTATTTTAAGGATTATATTATTTGCTCAAATAAGTTTTTTTTTTAGGAATTGCAAATAAATTTTTTTTAAAGAATGTATTACTTGCATAAATAAAGTTTTTTTTTTATATGGGTATTCGATATATATAGATAACTATGCGCATAGTTAATTACAGATCATGCTTTATTACTTGCATAAATAAAGTTTTTTTTTATATAGGCATTTTGATATATAAGTTATCAAAACATGTGCATTGTGCCCATCTTTAATTATATTGATATTACTTGCGCAAATAAAGTTTTTTTTTTTTTTATATATGGGCATTTTTATATATAAATTATATTAAACCATGCGCATGGTGCCCTTCTTAATTATGGATCACGCTTTGCTATTTGCGCAAATAGGTTTCTTCTTTTTTTTTCTATGGGCATTTTGACATATAGACCATCAAACAATGCACATGCATGGTGCATGCATGCATGCATTCATGCATGGTGCCCATCTCTAGTCCTGATCGCAAACACTTCCTGCCTCGCCTAGCAGAAGCTGGTGTTACTTCGAATATTTTTGCTTCATCTAATGAATCATTACCATTAACTGGAGGAATAAATACTGTTTGTGCGTGAATTTTATTCTAATTAAATAAAATTACATTAGTTGAATTATTTTAAAAACTTTAAATTAAATAAATATAATTAATTATATATTACTTACAATATTTCTCTTCAGTCTTTTTTTCGTGACTATATCATCCATTACCAACTTATCAAAATTTTTATGTAACATTATTTGGCATATAGTTAAGGTGTATTCCAATTGTGCATTGTTGCATGTTACATTTGGCCAAGACCTCTCTAAAATTCAGTTGAAGTAGATTTCGTCTGAATCATTTCACATTGGACGTAAAAGCTTTTTATAAGCTTCAACTGTTTTAGCCGATTTTTTCTATAAATCCATTTAGGCAGAAATTGCGTTTGTGTTAATTGAATCCAAGAGAGTCTCACTATATACAGAAAAAAGCGCACCTTTAATTTTTGTAGTAAGTCTGCTTCTACAAGAGCGGTGCTCTGCTTTAAGCTAATAAAAAAAATTATACAAATTAATTTAGCAATATGCGATTAGTTCGAATTAAATTAAATTAAAAATGATAACAAAAATAATATTTTAAACCGAAAAAGTATATAAAAAAAGATTATAAAAATTAACTCAATGCGAAATAATATGATTAAATTTAGAAATAATAATATACAAATATAATGAAATAATAAAAGACTATAATAGACAAAAATCAAAATTGTATAAAATGCGATATAATTCAAAATTATTAAAACATTTACAGGACTCGCGAGATTAGATTTATAATATGTATTCCACTCCTTATCATTCTTAGGCTCATAGAATTCTTTTTTAAATTCTGCTAAATACTTCTCTGTCTCCATTTTAAATTCGTCTTTGGTCGAATAAACATTATATGTTATGAGTTCTTTGGCAACTGCTGAACAAGTTTGCTAGTATTAAATTAAATATAATTAGATTAAATTAAAATAATATAACATTAACATATAAAAATAATAATTACTTTAATAAAATTAGTTTCTTCTTTTAATTTTAGACCTTCCGATACACGACTATCCAAATCCAAAAGTTTTCGATTAATGCTCACAACATGCTCAGTTAGTGTGTCAAGCTTATCCATAATTGCAGCCAAAGTAATTTGATCTTAAATTATTAAATAAATTAAATTATATATACTATAACTAGTAAATTAACAAAATAAACAAAATTATTTTTAAATTTTAACCATTATAAGGTCTTGGAGAATGATGCAATGGCGTGCTAATAGTTTTGACTATGGACGCACTTTCTCGCTCAGTAACTGACTGAGGTGCACTTCTAACTGCAGTCATTTTTTTAAAAGCAGTACGTCTAGCTGAGACAAGTTGATCATATTTTCCCTAAGCCGGAGAAGAAGAAAAAGCCATTTGATAAGATAAAATGAAGGATTTAAAATAAAATATAAAAATAAAATAAAAAGAATAAATGAAAAATAAAATAAATGATAAAAAAATATGAATAAATTCGAAATAATGCGAAAAGAATAAAATTAAATAAAGGTAAAGTGATAAACAATAAGTAATGTAATGAAATTAAAAGTAGAGCAAAAAGAGTAGATGTAAACAAGTTTAAGTGAAAAGATTTGAATTATACAGGTATCGAAATGAAATTGATTAGAAAACTACAAGAAGGATGAGAGCGAGAGTGGGTTTATTTAAATATTTTTTGAAATGATTCTAACATACTCAAATTAATTCGATTTATATTAAAATTTATTTATTTATTTTTTTTAAATATTAAGGTGACCACTTAGGCCCTTGGCACTTTATTAGTACAAGTGGTAGGCC